CCCCCCCCCCCCCCCGAGCTATCCGTGTGGCCCGGAGCACAGTGACACTGACGGGTGGGGGTGCCTAGACAACCCTTCAGGTTTTCTCTGCCTCTTTTTCAAGCTGAGTCACCATGTGGTGGCAGACGAGGCCCCACCACGGAGCCAGCCGGCAACGGGGGCCCAGAGGCAGCTGGGGTCGCCATGGAAACCGCGAGTGCAGCGCCTCGCAGGGTCTGGCCTTTTCACTCCGCCTTTCTGGCAGGCTTCCTCCGCCACCCTGAAACCCATTCACTGGGCGGGCGAACCGGGGCTTCTCCCCCGACCCCCCCTCCCTGCCCTGCGGTCCCCCTCAGGGAGTTCGGCCTCACCTCCCTCTTCCCCTCGGGGCTCCTCCCCAGCCACCCTCCCTTCTGGCGGCCCAGCCAAAGCGCTGGGAGGGGAGAGCCGGGCCTAGGCAGGGCTCGGTTTTCAATTCTAAGCCGATTTCCCCTCCACAGGCAGTGAGCCCTTTCATGCATTTCCCCTATTACCATAAACGCAGGAACTTGCATTAGGATGAATGAGCAGGAACCCCGGTCTTTGTCAGAGACTTGGCAGACGGCCAGCCATAGAATGACCTAAAACACTCAGAATTAAATGGGAACTGGAGAGGGGGTGGAGATCCCCGAGGGGTGAGAATAGGGAAGGGGGGTGGCCTCTGGTCTCTAATTATAATAACAGAGCCTTCCCGGTGTGTCCAGGCTCGGTGCTAAGCCTGGTGCACGGACGCTCTTTAAATCCTCACAGAACTTGTACATCCCCCTTGATCCCCACCCCCATTTTTACAGAGGATGAAACGGAGGGCCAGAGATGCCCAGAAGCAGGCCCAAAATTGCCCAGCAAAGGAATGACGGAGTAGGAATTCAGATCCTAAACTTGGAGGTTATCCCTGGAAGCCACATAGCCAGTTCTCATGGACCATAGACCCTGTCTCTATCCCCCCCCAACCCCTCCCCCACACTGCAATCTCCTGTTCAGTCTCGCTCTATTTCCACCCTCACAGTGATTTTACAAACCAGACTTGCTGCCTCAGATTGGATCTAGATAGAGTTAGAGAGCCACTCCACAGAGAGAGAGAAGAGGATTCCCAACACCCTGTCCAGTCATGTAGGGCAGGCAGCCTGGTGGCCACAGCCTTAGCTTCATACTCGGGCAGATCACATGCTGGTCAGCAGTGTACACACTGGCCCAGGGTCAGTACCCAGTGGATGTGTTTATCAGGTGCTGGGCTAAGTGAGCCCTGCCTCCAGATCCCAGTCCCTCCTTTCTGGCCTTGCAGCAGAAAGCAGGGGCTGAAGAAAAAGGAGGTCTGGAATGGGTATACTGAGTCCTCACTTGCTGCCCAGCTGGGCTTGGCTGCTTTCTTGCCAAGCCACCATTCAGACCCCCAGAAACGTCACCGCTGGGAGTTGAGTTCTTACCTCTTCTACAATCAGAAAGGATGCTTTCATTGATGTCCCCTCCAGACTCTCAAGTGTTCAATCTCCACTTCCTTCCAGAACACAGACACAAATGCATGTCTTTTCTTTTCCTTTCTTTCTTTCTTTCTTTCTTTCTTTCTTTCTTTCTTTCTTTCTTTCTTTCTTTCTTTCTTTCTTTCTCTCTCTCTTTTTTTTTTTTTCAGATGGCAAGAATCTCGCAGTGACTAAAACAAGCAAAATCTCCTGCCCTCAGGGAGCAAGGAACCAAAGTGGAGCAAGGCAGACAGTAAACAAACACATCTTTAAAAAAAAATAAAAACTGTGTCAGGAAGTGAAGTGCTGTGTGTGTGAATGACCCAGCTAAGAAGATCAATGAACGAAATCGTTTAAAGGTCAGGGTTAAATCTGAGAAACAGTCTAGTCTGAACCCCTCAATTTACAAATGAAGGCAAGGAGGCCCAGAGAGGAAGCTTGAGGTCACGTGGTGAATTATTGGTAAAAGCTGGGCTGGATTCCAGCTCTCCTTGGCTCTGCCATGGCCAAGGCCTGAGGGAAAAAATGTAAGCCATGGGAGTTGGAGAGCTGAGGGAGACAGACGTGTTTGGTCCTTCTGGCTCTTTCCCTTTTAAAAAAATTTTAATTTTTTTTTTTTTTTTTGACAGTTTCATGCTTCTCAGGCTGGCCTCAAATTTGGTCTGTAGCTTAGGATGGATGCTGGGACAACAGACACATCACCACGCTGGGTTTATGCCGCGTTGGAGACTGAAACCCAGGGCTTCCGGCACACTAGGCTAGTACTCTCCCACCGTGCCCAGCCCCTCTTGCCCTTCTTTAAACGCAATGTTTTTAAAATGAACTTCAGGACAATGCGAAATTCACCAGGAAGGTGTCACCAAGCAGGAGGCCTGACGCCCTGAAAGCACCTGACAGCTCCCATGAACAGTGGGCCGTATGGGAGGCCTGGGGGACCAGGACATTTGGATGCACAGTGTTGGCCACTGGTGGAGAAGAGGGAGGGCGTGTACTTTCATCGTGCCTGGCCTTTGGGGAAGGGTATTGTTCTTTTGTTGCTGACAAAGCCCCAACCCACAAGCCGGGTTTGGCTGGGAACCTGCAACTGCCTTGGGTGACTGGGTCATGTGTTTCCCAAGCCCTCCAATTCTTTCCATTCTGCCCAGCCCTCCGTCCTGGCAGGCCCTCGGTCTCCTACTGGGTAGATGGAAACGGCCAATAGCCTTACTCTTTATGAAGAAGCCATGCACAAGCCGAACAGTTTCTGCCTCAGCTCTAGGCATAACCGAGGGCGTGGGGGTGGGGCACTATCAACAACCACCACATAGATGACCAAGCAATCAGGTGGTCTCTGCATGACTTAGGAAGGCAGAGGAGTAGAACGCTCCAGAGGGAGGCTCAGGCCCATACTGAGCTTATGAGAAAGCCGGTCTTTCTCCGGGGCACTTGCCGGCGTCCACCAGACCACTCTTCTTCATTGGCCCAGAACACAGGCTGGTGTGGGCCACACCCACCCTTCTTCCCTTCCATATGCCTCCAGCATAGGCTGTTCAGTGGCTCAGGCTTATCTTTGTGACCTTGGTGTCTCTGGTTCACAACCAGTGAAGTATCTTGGCCATGTGACCCTGCACCAGGATCCTGGCCCAGTGGCCAGGCTGAGGTTCCCATGGCAATGCCCTACCCTTGGACTGTCTCATGGGCCCCACAAGCCACTGGAATGTCTCAAAAATACCACCCTGCAGGCAAACATCCAAACCGCCTCTCCCAGACGGCAGCTCTCAATTCTAGCAACAGGAAAATCCTTTCAGAGCGTGTCCTGATTTCAGCTTGGAAAACAGATGGCCATTGCAAAGCTCGCCATCCGCCCTCTTATTTCCTTTTTCCTCTCTCTCTCTCTCTCTCTCTCTCTCTCCAGTCTCAGGCAGAATCTGAGCTCAGATTCCAGCGTTACCATCTCTTCCCAGTCCTCTGAACCTGTGCTGCTCCTGTGGCCCGGCTTCATCATCCTTCATGGGGACGGCAGTCACCTGCCTGCAGACTTGGGGGCAGACCAATGCTTTTTTTTTAAAGTTTTTAAAATCAAACTTAATTAATTTATTCATTTGTATGTGTGTACACCAATATCTATGTATGGAGGTCAACAGACAGCATATGGGTCCCAGGGGATGAAACCCGGGTTATCAGGTTGACAGAAAGCTCCTTGACCCACTGAGCTATCTGGTCAACCCTGATCAATGATTCTGTGAGAGGCTTTCCCTGTCAACACCCTCAGCCATTCCTGCTCTGAATACTTCTACCTTCCTTACCTGGTTTATTTTTTTTTTCTCCACAGCGCTTCTCATTATCTGACATACTATCTCACATATTTTGGGGTTTTGACTGTCTTTTATTTCCTATAATGGATACTCTAAGAGGGCAGGGATTTAAAACTCATTTATTCGTCTATTTATTTTATGTGTACTTGTGTTTGCCTGTTTGAATTCATAGGTACCACGTGCCTGCAGGAGCCCTTGGAGGCCAGAAAAGGATATAGGATTCCCCAGAAATGTAGTTACAGACAACTGTGAGCTGTCGCATGGGTGCTGAGAACTGAACCCAGGCTCTCTGCAAGAATACATGTTCTTAACTGCTGAGCCCCAATTTTTAAAGAGATTTATTCTTTTCAGGTATATATGTGTGTGCTCATCTGTGTGGGGTGTGTATGCATGTCTGTATCCGACAGTGTCTTGGGGTCCTTGGAAGTTGGAGTTACAGGCAGTTGTGAGCTGGCTATTGTAGGTGCTAAGTAAGACTCCAACTTGGCCCTGGACAGGAGCAGTACGCATTCTTTACCATTGATCCATCATGTCTCTAACCCCTCTAGCCCCAATTTTATGTCTGGGCCTGCTTCGCCGTGGTGCTGAAAAATAATGCCAGGTGGTGGTGGTGCACACCTTTAATCCCAGCACTCAGGAGGCAGGGACAGGTGGATCTCTGAGTTCTAGGCCAGCCTGGTCTACAGAGTGAGTTCCAGGACAACCAAGGCTACACAGAGAAATCCTGTCTTAAAACAGAAACAGTAATAATAATAAGAAGAAAAAATTGCTCACTAAAAGATGAATGATGCTAATTACGGTGGTTCACACCTAAATTTTAGGACTCAGGAGGCTGAGGCAGGAGACTATCATGAGTTGGAGACCAGCTTAGGCTACAACATGAGTGACCCTCGTGGAAAAGCGTAAACACGAACCGTCACCAATAGAGTGGAGTCTGGCCATTATCTTCTGCCTTATGACTCTGAGCCCCTACCACCAAGGACACCTTGGGTCAACAATGGGCCTGGTGTGGGTGGAGCTAGAGGTGGTCTGGGGCCGCCTCCACCTTTCTCCTTCCTTTCTCTTGTCTCTGCCCACCGCCACCAATGAGCCTGTAGTGACACGGGAAAAGTCTGCTGTGGCCTCCCGGAGGGATGTTTTGGTGGAGACAGCATTTTGACCCAGGAGAGGATATCCCTAGCTGCCAGGCCCTCTCCTCTTGCCATCAGTCACCCACATGGAGAGATTGAGTCAGGACAGAGCTTATGAACAGTGGCCTTAGGCCACCCTCTCATTATCCAGTTGGCTTGCTCTGCCCACGGCTAGAGAGGAAGGAACTCTGGCCACAGAGCAACTGGGAATGCCATGCCGCTAGAAGGTTGCCTCTCTAGCAGGGAGTGTGTTCTCACAGGGCGGCTTCCTCCCCAGGGCCTCCTTCACTATTCCTCACTGAAGCAGGATCTGCTATCTCCATTCACAGAGAGGAGGTGAGGTCGAGCATCAGAAAAACCATTTCCTGTCGGCTTCCTGGATTTGGGGAGAAAGGGGAACTCACAGCCTCTGGGCTCCACCTCTGTCCACCAGAGTGAATTTCAGCACAGGCACAGAGGATACCACCGTCCTATCCCTCCAGCCGGGGATGAGTTTCAAAGCACCATCCTGGTAATTACCTTACTGGAAGCCGCACAAAAGAAGACAGGAATTAAGAAACAAAAGCCTCTGGGCTCAGAGTCCAAGGAAGCCAGAGAGCCAAGATGAAAATACTTCGTGTTTTCTGTCTTGCCAGATTCCCCAGGAACTCCACCTCTGAATAGCAGAGCCTTCTCAATCCCTGTGCACCAAGAGGGAAACTGAGGCACGCCTGGCGTACTGGGAGTAGAAGCACAGTAGATACAGAGGTACACCCACTGTCTCAACACTTACCAAGGCCTTTGCTGGATGGATTCCCTCCCTAGGCCCAAGGAGTACTGGGGGGGGGGGGATGAAAATGCCCCTGAAGAGCAACAATAACCCTGCCGGAGGATTGTATTCTCTTTTTTTCCCCTTTGTTTGTTGAGACAGAAGGTTTACTCTGCAGCCCAGGCTAGCCCTAAGTGCACGGCAATTGTCCTATCTCCGCTTCCCAAGTTAACCACACCTGGCATTGGGTCCTTCACAGATAACAACTTGGTGTATTTTTTATGAGGTCTGGAGCTGTTTTCCTGGAGCAGTTGGTACCCTAGAGCTATGCCCCATGGAACAACCAACCCTCCATGTTAGGATTCTGTACATGCGCATGCGCAGCTCGAGGGTCTTGTCTGGCACCTTACGTCATCAGCGGGCGACTACGTACCGCCCTAAAAAGCCGGACATGGATCCCCACGCTCTGTCTCTGCGCTTCTCTTCCTGTGTTTCCTCTCTCTCTTCCTGCTCTGTTCCCTCCACCGGGCCTGGCTTCTCCCTCCTGTCCCCTCCTTTCTTTCTTGCTTGCTTTTTTTTTAAAAAACACATTTTATTTTATTTTTATGTGCATTTATGTTTTTGCCGTGGGTGTCGGGGTCCCCTGAAACTGGAGTTTCAGACAGGTGTGAGCTGCCATGTGGGTCTGGGAGTTGAACTCAGGTCCTTTTTTTTTTAAACGTATACAGTATTCTGTCTACGTGCGTGCTTGCAGGCCAGAAGAGGGCGCCAGATCTCATTACAGATGGTTGTGAGCCACCCTGTGGGTGCTGGGAATTTAACTCAGGACCTCTGGAAGAACAGCCAGTGCTCTTAACCGCTGAGCCATCTCTCCAGCCCCTCCCCTCCACTCTTCTTTCTAATAAAGCCCATTCTAACTCTGGTAGCCGTGGCCCGTGACTTCCACTGACCAACCGACACCGTTCATCCTTTCACTCCACACATACACAGGCCACCTCTTTGCTTCTGGTCCCAAGGTCTGTGTTCCCTTCCGGGCTGTTCTTCTCCTGTATTTAAAGTGACTGCTACACACTTTGTCCCAGACACATGGTACAGCCAAACCAAACAGCAAAAGTCTTCTCTATCAAGAAGGACATTTTTTGTTGTTGTTTTAAAGACAGGGTTTCTCTGTGTAGCACTGGCTATCCTGGACCAGGCTGGCCTCGAACTCACAGAGACCCACCTGCCTCTGCCTCCCAAGTGCTGGAAATAAAGGCATGCGCCACCACTTGGCGAAGAAGACTTTTTATTGAGGGAGACAGAGATTTACAAAAGAGAAACAAACAAGATAAAAGCAAAAATTCAGAGAGTGGCCTGGAATAGAGGCATACACCTGTAACCCCAGCACTGAGACAAGAGGATCCTGCCTAAAAGCCGGGCAGTGGTGGCGCATGCCTTTAATCCCAGCACTTGGAAGGTAGAGGCAGGCGGATCTCTGTGAGTTCGAGGCCTAGCCTGGTCTACCGAGCAAGATCCAGGACAGGCACCAAAACTACCCAGAAAAACCTTGTCTCAAAAAAACAAAAACAAACAAACAAAAAAGGTTGTGTGTGTGTGTGTTTTAAATGAATTCCGACAGTTGTGAGTGCTATCAAGGAAATACAAGAAGGTGCCAGGGGTTTATGCCTGAAATCTTAGTCCTTGGGAGAGAGAGGCAGCGCAGGAAGGTGAGAAGTTCAAGGCCAGCCTCAGTTATGAACAACAACAGCAAAAACCCTGAACAAAGTGGGGGTGGGGTGTCAGCCATGTCATGGACAATGGCTTACAACCAGGACCCCTTTAGGTAATGGCCAGAGGAAGTCTTGCTTGGGAAGTGCCACTGATCCTGGGCAGGACAGAAAGAGACCAGGAGGCCAAAGCAGAAGCGCTGGATGGACCAAGCAGAAGTCGGCCTTGGTGCTGGGACAGGCATGGTTCGTATGCAATGTCCCGGTGCCTGCCTGCCGCTCCAAGCCTTCCTTTCCGGGCTTGATGCAGCTACCCACTATGAGCTGCTGAATTTATTCCAAGTGCAGGGGTTGAGGAAACGACATGACTGATGTTCTGAAAAGGCCTTGTTGGCTGCTCCAGGAGGAATAAATGAAGAGGGGGGAGAAGGAAGAGGAGCCAGACCAGGCACGCTGCCACGTGCCTTAGTCCTAGTTTCCAGGGTGGCAGGCTTTAGGAAGGATCCCAAGGCTTCCCAAGCCCCACCTGTACTGGGATGGGGAGCCCTCCGGGTCATTCCTGCCCCAAGCACCTAATCAGGGTCTACTCTTGCCCCACACTGGAGATGACGCCTTCCTGCTCTCCTCCCTCACCTGTTCTAGCCCTTCCCTTCAGCCCAGGCTACAGCCCAGCGTCAGCCAGTGCCCGTCACACCATCCCCACCTCCCAGCAGGAAGCTGGCCGGCGGCGTCTGCCGGATTGACCTTGGGCTGCAGAGTCCACGTTTGCAAAGTCAAAGCCAGTCACTTCCTCCCTTGAGCCTCCCCGGGGCGGGCAAGGGACCGCCGAGCCTCCCTGCCCCCCCTCGAGCGGGTCCGGACTGGCGCTGGCATGCACGCGCTCCGCATGTTAAGTCGTGCTCGCGCTCGCGCCCGCGCTCCGCCGCGCCAGGCTCATTTGTCACCCGCTGCTGACTCAGCACTTCTGGGGAAGGCTTTTTCCCTCCGCTTTGGAGGACAGGCCAGGAAATGAAGCAGCAGCGCGGACTCTGCCTTCCCTTCCCTTCAGGATGTGTGTGTGTGTGTGTGTGTGTGTGTGTGTGTGTGTGTGTGTATGTGTGTCCCAGGCTGTCTGGGACCCGCTGTAGTCTGGTGTTAGTCTCAGACAGGCGTGTACTTTATATACATCCCCATCTGTTTGTGTCCATTAGTGTGCATGTGTGTGGTGTTCGTGCTTGTGAACCTGCGTCAGCCCCTGCTCGATAAATGACAGGGTGCGCGTCACCCGGTGTGACTTGATGAGTCTGTGTGCTTCCTGAATCCCCTCCGACTTCACCTTGACTCCTCGCTAGCGACCCTGAGATTTCTCCAGGCCATCAGCAGCACATCTTCCTCCCCTGTGGCCTCTAGCTCGCTTTCACAGCTCCCTCGGCCTTCAGAACACTAAACACCGGTCCTCGGAGGCTAAAGGTGGAGCAGGCTCTGGGAGCAGCCAGACCCAGGTTTCCTTAACTGCCTAGCCTGGCACTTGCCAGCATGGACCTTACACAGGCTACCTTCGTCGCAGGCCTTAAGGGAACGGCATCTCTCTCCCCATGAGTCTGGTGCATCCTACACAGCAGAGGATGCCTGGGAATTCTTAAAAGTTCTGGGTGCACCAAACCTTGAGAAATGTGTCAGGCTGGCAGCCAGGCAACGAGGAATAGCACCCGAGCACAAAAGCACAGAGCGCCTTTCTTCGGCTGCTGGGAGCCCATGCAGGTGGGAAGAGGCAGCCTGCATTGTGAGCAGGGCAGGAGCTGCCTGCGTGACAGCTATTAGGAAGAGAGAAGAGAGGTGACCTGATTTAGAGCTGTCTCTGGCAGCCAGGAAAATGAATAGGTCAAAGGCAGAGCGCTGGGTAGCCTGGGCACCACTCCCATCTAGGCTGCTGATAGTGACTTCTTCGGGGGTGGAACGAATTAGGAGGCAAACCAGAGATCCAGGCAAGGGAAGCTAGGGCCAGCTGGGGCTCCTGCTGAGGAACGATGTGGCCTTGGACAAGTCACCGCTCCTCTCTAAGCCAGGGTTTCCATATCTCCAAAATGAGGGAAAGGAGGCTGTGTGGACTCAGGTTCTGTTGTTTTTGTTTGTTTTCAACACAGGGTTTCTCTGTATAGCCCCCTGACTGTCCTGGAACTCATTTTATAGACGCACTGGCCTCAAACTCAGAGATCCACCTGCCTCTGCCTCCTAAGTGCTGGGATTAAAGACATGTGCCCCCACCACTCGGCGTGGACCCAGGTTCTTGGACACACTCATACACTGTGCCTGAATCCTGGCCCAGCCTGCACCTCAGGTGTTTCCCTTTACTTAGACACCAGGAGCAACCCTCCCACCACCTCCCAGCTCCCAGATCTCCCAGGGAAAACCAACCAACAACAGACCCGCATCAGAAAAGGGAACCAGCCAGGGGGTGCTGGCGCACGCTTGTAATCCCGGGACTCGGGAGGCAGAGGCAGGCAGATCTCTTGAGTTTGAGGCCAGCCTGGTCTACAGAGTGAGTTCCAGGACAACCAGAGCTGTTATACAGAGAAACCCTGTCAAGAAAGAAAGAAAGAAAGAAAGGAAGGAAGGAAGGAAGGAAGGAAGGAAGGAAGGAAGGAAGGAAGGAAGAAAGAGACAGACAGAAACAGAGAGAGAGAGAAGAGAATCAATCTAAGGAGTGAGCCTTGGTCTTTAGGAATGAGACCAATAAGGAGCAGAACATGAAAGGGGGCACCGAAGAGTTTTCTTCATGACCTTTTACCCCTTTCCTGCTCCCAGAATCCTACCCAGAGCTAGTGAGCATGCTGGGTACTTTACTCTGCCTGGGCTTGGATTCATAGGTAGGCCCAGCGGTCATTTCCGCTCTGAAGCCCGAGACTGGAGTGAAGGAGGGAGCGTGGCGCTCCGGCCCCCCTGACTCACAGGGTTATCCCACATGGGTGGGGCCGCTGCAGAGCAGACATGCCCATTTCTGTCCAGACACAGCTGGGCAGCCAGTGGGTGGCTACAGCCTGTCCTTACATGGGTGAAAGGGGGCCAGCCACCCAGTGCATGACTCACCCAGTCACCCAGCCAGCTAAAACCTCAACCCCACCCTTCCTTTCTCCTGCTACCCAGAGGGCCCCCTGTCATCCATTCTGGCCACACCGCCACTAAAGCAGAAAAAAAAAAAAAAAAGGCATTTGCAAGAGTCGGCAGTGACCTCAAGGAAATAAACACAGAGGGCCACGTGAACATTTACCAACACTGAAATCATCTACTCCAGGACTAACTGTTACAGTGCTACAGATTCTTCCTTTTTTTATTTGTTTGCTTGCTTGCTTGAGACAGGATCTCTCTATGTGGCCCTTGCTGTCCTGGAACTTACTATTTAGAACAGGCTGGCCTCAGATTCACAGAGATCTGCCTGTCTCCGCCTCCCAAGAGCTGGGATTAAAGGCGTGTACCACCATACCCGTTGGTTGACTCCTTGTCAAGTTGCTTCCGTTGAATATTCTGTTCCTAAACTCTGTGAGTCCATCAGATATGAACAGCCACAAAACTCACCTGCCTTCTAGGGCTGTTGCCTTAGCTCAGTCGGAAAGAAACAGTCTCTAGAGGAAGACTGCCTGGGAGGGTGTGTGTGTGTGTGTGTGTGTGTGTGTGTGTGTGTGTGTCTGTGTCTGTGTCTGTGTCTCTGTGCATCTCTGTATGTGTGTCTGTATGTATGTGTATGTCTGTGTGTCTCTGTGTGTCTGTGTCTGTGTGTCTGTGTCCCTGTGTGTGTCTGTGTCTATACGTCTGTGTGTGTGTCTTTATGTGTATCTGTGTGTGTGTGTGTCTTTGTGTGTGTCTGTTTATGTGTGTAAGAACAGACAATGACCTTTCCTTTTCCTGCCTGGCTTTCCCAAGTTAAAAAAAAAAAAAAACAACTTTTAAGAGAGTGTTGTTTCCGATTCCCGTTCCCCACACCACCAAACCCCAGACAATACAATTAAATGCCCTGTTTGATGATTGAAGGCCGAGGTGTGTCTCTGATGCAGAGGCCCACTTTGTCCTGACTATGGGCTCCAGCACCCCCAGGGGTGTCCACTGGATGCAGGTAGCTATCAATTCCTTCCCCTTCACACCTAATGGACATCACCTCCTTCTCCTTCTGTTAGC